AATTTCATATGTACCAAAAACATAGCTGCTGGGATGAGAATCAAATAGAAATGAAATGAAAAGCTACACACAGGCACACCCACTGAGAAGACTCGACGAGACCTGTGTGACCTTAATACTGCATCCATGCGGGAACTCTGCAATGCTTATTAAGATATGGGTAGACATTTAAACTTTTGAAATCTTCATGTGCCATAAAAGAAATGGAATAAAACTGTAGATTCTTATTTTCGACCCTTTCCGCCCTCAACCTTTGTCTAAATTGGTTGTTTTACATTAACATGTCAGGAACAGAGTGAGCATTCAATGTACATAGTAAAAGCAGCATTCATTAAATCGATATAATTTATTTGGACATTTTAAAGGCCTTTGATAAAGTTCCTCAGAAGAAGGCTCTTCTGGAAACTCAGCCTTAATGGGGGTGAGAGATAAAGTTCTCTGGTGGATTAGGAATGTGGCTGCAGATGGGAGGAACAAAGAAAAGAGAACAAATGTTTAATTTTCAACATGGAAGGAGGTTAATAATGGGGTGCCCTAAAGATCCCTGGTATAGCTCGCGGTGCTTAGTATATGTATTAATGATCCAGAAAAAAGAATGAATGACAGGGTGGCAAAAACTGCAGAAGATATAAACTGGCAGGAGCATGTAAGTGAGGGAAATGATCAGGAAGAAACCGAAGAGCCCAGCCTCTTAACAATATGGAGTTACATGATGAAGGAAAGAGGGATACATTTAGTTTGGTTACCATCTGAAGGTGAACCTACCCTATTCACAATCCTTGAAACAATATGCAAAGTGAATCTCCTTGGAAATTCTCTGAATTTTGCAATACAATTCTGCAGCCAAGTAACGTACAAATATTTAAATAAATATGTAAAAAAATGTACAAAATTGCTTTCAGACATGTGTATGTTAGACAAAACTGCACACCAAGATGTGTATATTGGGATAATGGGCCTTCATAAGGATATATATCAGCAACTTTTGGCAAATATGCCCATCCCTAGCTATTCACAGCCATATACTGAGTAGAAAGACCTTAGTTCAGAGATAAAATGCATGTTTTGCAAGCAAGTATCCAAGGTTCAGCAGCAGCAGGGCAAAAGGAGAGGTCAGCAACAATGCCCTCCCAGTGGTGGCAGCATTTTGTCCACTGGGAAGGGGATGGGCCAGTGAGTTTGAAGGAGCTCTGAGCTAGTGGCACTGGCATCCTACAGGTGTCCACACAGCTTCTGGATGGGGCAGTGCCATTCAAAGCTCCCCTAGTCTTTCTGCCATCTCACCCTACCACATCCCCATCCTAGTGAATGCCCTACTCCCACCACCAAAAGGATGCCACTGCCATTCCCCCCACCCGTGTTGTGATTGCCAAGGTTCAGTTCCCAGAATCTCAAGGAATACCAAATTAGCTAGGTGGGCTAATGGTCTAAACTGGTATTAGGCAACACCCTGTGCTCCATCGAAAGAACACAGCTCTTTCTAGGCATTTCCTCTCTAGAGGAAAGCAGAAACAGTGGCTTCCTCTCACTGGAGGTGGCAACGTGCAAATTGGAAGAGGGATGGGGTAAGGTGGTAGCAGCAAGGAGAGGGAGCTCCAGGTAGGTGTTTCTCTTTAAAGGGTTGGTGGAACACTCCTGAACAGGATGGGTTACAGCATGAGGGATGCTGTGGGAAGGGATCATTGTTCAAAACTGGACAGAAGCACGTTGTGAGATCCACTAGAGCAAAAGTACAATTCTATCTACCTGTGCCTTTTATGAGAGATACAAAGCATAGCGGAACATCCAAAAGCTGAAGAACCTAAAGCTGAAGCTAAACTTGAGACGGAATTGGAAGTCAGAGGGAGAAGAGAAGAGTTGTGATCATTAAGGCTGAGCAAGACAAATAATGCGAGCAGCAGAATTCTGAACAAAAACCAAAGATTTAAGATGCGAGAAAGGTGACTAGAAAGGAAAACATTACAATAACCAAGATGGGAAATGACAGGCGCTCTTCAATAATTCCACACCTGAAATCTGCCAGAGCACAGAGAGCACAATCATTCTGCATTATGCAAATAAAGCTGCAAATGTTCTGAATTTCCAAGGAACTCGGGCACTTCTCCCTTGCAATGTGCTGGGGAAGTAGGCATGACACAAGAGAGGCTCATTTGTGATACAGAGACACCACAAGATAATTGCACTACAGCAGGGCCTTTATTCTCTAGAGCATACTTAGCATAATGGTTAATTCATCCCCAGCATGATCCACAATCTAGTTAAGTTAAATTTAATTCAGGTTTTTTTTCCAGGATAATGTAGTCCTTTTAAAGCCAAACTTCATATATCCATTTATTACCTTCACTCCCAGGATACAAAGAACCTGACAAAGATTGCCAAAAATTTGAGGGGGCAGCCACGTCTACCCCCAAAAGAACACTCCAAGATACTGTATTGTCTGATAGCTTCAGTGGTGAGATTTCCTCAAAACTCATCGGTTCCAGAGAGTTCAAAGGCTGCAAAAGAGGGGTTTGATATTCCAGAAACCATGAGAAGATCAGAGTCTAGTTCCGACTGCAAGCAGTGCTTATCCTTCAACTTTCCCCCCTAATTGCAGAGACACACATCCCCACGCTATGGCAGGTCTAGGAATAAGATCATCAGGAGAAACACTTAATGAGGGCAGGGAGTGTATGTTGAGGTGAATGAGATTGCTTTCTTTTAAAATGTGTGAGTAGGGGCTGAGTGACATTTGTCATTTAAATGTGTGTGAAAGATGTGTATGAATAGGGAGTGGGAACAAATGTGTCACACAGAGGCAAAATGGTCCACTCTTTGACCATTCTTTTAACAATCCTGTTTGCGAGCATGGGAGGTTGCTTAGAGGATGTTAATGGACCATTAATCCATGCTAAGTGATTTTAAAGGTACACCTACAGTAATTAATCTAATATGATTCTTAAGGGGGGAAGGGAGCAGGAATAAGAGGAGTTGAATAATGTACATGTATTGTGCCTTATAAAGAAGAGTGTCAGGCCTGGAAAATGGGAGCCTGTAAGCCATATTCTTCCTCACAGGCTCCCTGGCTAAAAGCAAGTAGTTACTCCATACTATAATAGCTCTAAACTTTTTCAGATGACTAACCAGGACAATGCCCACTTATGTTAGTTGCAGTTCAGACCTCACAGAATGCAAGTCATATAATTTACGTGTGTGTGTGTGTGTGTGTGTGGTGTTAAAAGAGTTTAAATGGCAATCCCACCTGAGTTCCTGAGACTTACAAAGCCCACAAGTGCAGTAATTCTATAATTAGCTGTAATTAATGTCCATATGGAGCTTCATTTTTTCCCCTCTCTGCACATATTACAGAAAGTTTATTTGAGTACTTAATTCATGGTGAACTCATACCACTGCTAGCAGTGAGCAATCCCTTGGTAGATAGTATGTCTTGCAGAACTGCAGGTAAATATCAGAAAGCTGCAGTGAATCGGTAGAGATCTCTGTTTGCATAGTTGCCCTGAAGTCTTAAGGGTGCAGTTGGTTCAGATGATTCATTGCATTTGCTGTTTGGATTGTTTTCCAGTTACTCTGGAGATTTTCTTTATTTGCGTTGTTGATAAAATGTCTTACGAGCCTTTGAAGAAAAAAAAGGTCCAGCTCAAGGTCACTTCTCTGTTAAGTACAGACTTTTGGAACTGCTAGTTTGAAGCATATATTCCTGCAGCTGGAGGGCAACTGAGTAAAGGATAGAGAGGCATTACTGGCTGTGGCTCACTCAACAGGCCCAGGCACTACTCTGTCACATCCTGGAGCCAGTGTGGTGTAGTGGTTAAGAGCAGTAGTCTCATAATCTGGTGAACCGGGTTCGCATCTCCGCTCCTCTACATGCAGCTGCTGGGTGACCTTGGGCTAGTCACACAAGTCTCTCAGCCTCACCCACCTCACAAAATGTTTGCTGTAGGGGAGGAAGGGAAAGGAGAATGCTAGCTGCTTTGAGACTCCTTAGGGTAGTGATAAAGCAGGATATCAAATCCAAACTCTTCTTCTTCCTGCATTGACTCATGCCCCCGCCAATTGATGTTGGACTGGGTGGCAGGGCTAGCAGGATTGGAGTGAAAACTGGTTGCTTCGGTGCACCCCAACCTATTTAAGGAGCCTCAATCATGGAAGCAGTAGATAGGGACAAGTCCCACCTCCCCAAGAGATTGAAAGCTTAGGCTTTTACAGAAGAAGAGCCTGCTGGATTGAGCCAATGGCCCATCTAGTCCAGCATCCTGTTCTCCCAGTGGCCAACCAGATGCCTATGGGAAGCCCGCAAGCAGGACCTGGGAGCAGCAGCACTCTCTCCTCCTGTGGTTTCCAGTAACTGGTATTCAGATGAATGCTGCCTTTGACCATGGAGGCATAGATAGTAGAAATTGATAGCCTTATCTTCCATGAGTTCTTTTTATGAGTTCTTTGAAAGGACAGAAAGTTTAGGACCATCTAGGATCTCCTTGCCAGCATTCCACCTTCTCCAGACTTTCCTGCTCCTGATTTCTCTTGCCCAGATACAATCGAGGGTGCCAAGCATGTTGGCAAAGCCTCCATATCCACTGGAACTTTTAACTCCTTCTGGCTTCTGTTGCCTTGTGAGGGATGCACTCTAAAAGGCAAGATAGAAATACAATATGTTACAAAATTCAGTATTCCTTTTGGAGGCAGTGATGCAAAAAACAACAATACCATAGACCAGGGGTCAGCAAACTTTTTCAGCAGGGGGCCGGTCCACTGTCCCTCAGACCTTGTGGGGAGCCAAACTATATATTGGGGGGGGGAATGAACAAATTCCTATGCCCCACAAATAACTCAGAGATGCATTTTAAATAAAAGGACACATTCTACTCATGTAAAAACACGCTGATTCTCAGACCATCCGTGGGCCAGATTTAGAAGGCGACTGGGCCAGATCCGGCCCCCGGGCCTTAGTTTGCTTATCCATGCCTTAGACACTAAAAGATGGAGTCTGTCCTCTTCCCAGCCTTCCTTGACACAGACTCTCTCTCTCTCTCTCTCTCTCTCTCTCTCTCTCACACACACACACACACACAGAGAGAGAGAGAGAGAGAGAGAGAGAGAATGAATTTGGGGGAAGTGGGGAGGAGAGATGCTGGCAGCAGGGGAACCTGAGCATGGCAAAAAGTACTGAAGTGAGCTAATTACAAGCTAAGCTGAACTTTTGAAGGGGAGTTTTGCTTGGCTCATAATTGGTTTGGCTTTTCCAGACTGGAAGAGTCTGTTTCCAAAGTGCCCAGTTCAAAAATTCAGTGCCATCTCTATGTAGGAGCCATTCTACACTCTCATCATGCTGAGTACAACTTCATTCAGGGTTCAACCCAATAATACAATGAGACGACGGAGCATGTTGTTCCCACATCATCTAAAAGAATCAGTGGAAGTAGTCATCTCGCCAAGGAAGTTTTAACAAGATGCTCTCAAAACATTTCTTTCGTTTGTTTATGTGCTCCTGTGATTAAAAGATAAAACTTCCAGCCAGAATCTGTAATATTTATATTCAATTAATATTATTTTCTATCAGTGTAGCTGTTTGTGGAAGGCAACTTTTCATGAAACAGTTTTAAAACTACAGTATGCTGAAAAGTCTTGTAAACATCCTGTCGGAATGAATAATGCAAAAAGCAACTGGCTTCCCGAGAAAACTACTAAACTATTAAACTAGTGTAGTTCACAGATCTGAGGGGAGCCAATTGCACATCTCGCTCCATCTATTCTGATGAATTCAGGAGAACTCTATAGCATGCTTGCTATTCTGTGATATTTTGGTTGACCTAACAAAGATTATTTCCCTAGTATAGATTCTGGAATCTTATAAGATATTACGTCACCTTTTCAAACATAAGAATAATTCAAAGGAATCATTCTGCAGCTTTAAATAGTTATGTGAGAATTTACTCTCTAACTGACACCCAGTTTGTAGTGGCAAATATAGCAATGGCATGACCCATGACCCTTTTCTCTATGGATTCTTCCCTTGCTGCTGCAGCATCCATTGGATTTGGGACCTGTGTGTTCCAATTGCATAGTTTCTCTCCACCTCACCTATTAACGTTCCAGCCTGAAGGAAGTCTGCATTAGTGCATGCTTCCACAGCTCATGCAACAATCTCATGCAACAATCTCAAATAGCCACAGCAAAACACATCCCACATTACTGGTGGTCAAATATGAATGGGGTATGTGGTAAAAGGTAAAAAAGTAAAGGACTCCGGACGGTTAAGTCCAGTCAAAGGAGACTATGGGGTTGTAGCGCTCATCTCGCTTTCAGGCTGAGGGAGCCAGTGTTTGTCCACAGACAGTTTTCCTGGTCATGTGGCAGCATGGCTAAACCGCTTATGGCACAACGGGACACCATGACAGAAACCAGAGTGCATGGAAATGCCATCTACCTTCCTGCCGCAGCGGTACCTATTTATCTACTTGCACTAGCATGCTTTTGAACTGCTAGGTTGGCAGAAGCTGGGACCAAGCAACTGGAGCTCATCCCATCACGGGGATTCGAGCCACTGACCTTCTGATCGGCAAGCCCAAGAGGCTCAGTGGTTCAGACTGCTTGAGATGGGCCTCAGCTAAATATTGGAGGAGGGGGAGGAAATGGCAACCCTTTCTTACTCCTGCTGCCTGCCTCATATCAGGAATTATTCCAAAGTTGTTGCTGGGGACAGGAGCCTTTCCAGAGGCATCATTATCATTGCTTCCCTTTTCCTGCTGCCTGCCCCACAGCAGGGTCCAGGGATTTCTCCCAAGTTGTTTGCGGTGGGGAGAGCACAGTGCAAAGGCATGATCATCATTACTAGCGCAGTCATTGCTATTACTAATGATAGCTTGTGTGAAGCTTGACTATAAACTCATCTGCATTAGTGCTGTCAAAGTCCCAGTTTTAAAGATTTTCTCCCACTATATGTAGGCTTCTAAATTTCAAGGAATGGGAACTCTGAGCAAGAAAGGATATATGCACACATGAGGGGAAATGCACAGGTGTGTTATCACGGTAATCACCTACTAATGTGCTGTGCAGTGGTGTCTGCCTTTAATTTTGCTTTTAAAGAACCCTTTCCCACAAACCTTGTAGTCCTTCCATGTCTACTCAGATGCAAGTTCTGCTGAATTCAGTGAGACTTGCTCTCAAGTTAGTTTGGTGAGGATTGCAACTTAAACATTAGATTGTTGTGAGGCAGGTTAGTTTGACCTTCAACCTGTGACTTAGTCTCAAGCAGATAATTTTTATTACTCATTCTGAGTTTGAAATGAGCAAGGAAGCAACCTTTGGACATTGTTTGCATGGATAACATATTTTGTTTTTGCCTTTTATTATGGGTAGGGGCCTCAAAATTGGGAAGTGCCCAGATCCTCTCTGAACCTCTGGGAGACCCTGCCTACCTTTCCTTCCTTCCTTCCTTCCTTCCTTCCTTCCTTCCTTCCTTCCTTCCTTCCTTCTCCATTAGTCACCACAATGTTTTTTCCTCAATATTTTTCCTGTCTATGCAAAATTTTAATGAATTCTGCAATCTCACTCTTTCCCCCCTTCCATCTATGTGAATTGATTATAGATCTATTAATAAATTCCAATATCAAAGATTCACACTAATATCAAGTGCTGCCCAATTACCAATGCCCTCCCTTTGGAAGGCAACTACTTAAAATGTATTTTTAAAATTATTTTCCCCCCTTTTTACCTGAATGTGAAATATCTTTTTTATGAAAGTATCTTTTTTATGAAAGTATTCTTTGTACTGTTTTATTGGCTCGTTGCTGCTGTTTTGGCCCTTTCTGATGTTTTGCCTTAGATGTCCTGGAGCAAATTCACCCCTGGCGTCAGTGCAAGTGACAGCAGTGATGGCTGAGCTGCAGAGAATTTGGTCCAGCATTTTCCATCAAGATTAGAAAGCAAGTGAAGCAGCAAAAGACAATTAAGCCAACGATGCACTTGCTATCTGAAGTATTCAAGCAATGTGAATGCTGGCATAATTCAGTTCTTACTCGCTAGGCATGCAAATAAATCAACTTTAATGTCAATAAAGTCAGCAATGACAGATTTTATCACTAAGATATAACTAAGCACTAATGACTGGGAAGAAAGCAAGCAGCTCCCAGGAGCTGAAGTGGTATTTTATTTTGTCCTATGTGAAGCCAAGGGTAACTGAAAAGCCTGCCCTTTCCCCCCTCTATTATTAACTGCAAATCATTCTTGTCGTGTTAGAGAGCTGATTGTTTTTTCAAGTATTATTCACCATTAGACTGTGACTCACAATATGACCTCCTTCAGAGGTGCTAAAGTCCATTTCCAATTAGCCTCTGCTTATTACCGAGATTCACTTTCTGAGTATTAGAGTCTTTTTATCATTCAGCCCCAAAATTATATTTTCCATTTCCAAAGGGCTGTTTGACTTCTATAATCATCGCTGAAAGAAAAAAGTTCTAAGGCACACACACACACAAAAATAACAATCAAAAGGTTGATGATATCCCACAATAGCCAAAGCTGTACATATCTGCGCCTGGGTATCTAATGCACACAGCATCACTGATCTGATGAAAAATTAGTTATACCTAAGCCCAATTAGAAGCAGCAGAACTTGAGAATGTGATACTGATACTTACTTTGGCGTAGACATGTGTAAAATTGCACTGTGAGCCATCATGGCTAACTTTCCTTACTGGTTTTAATGGGACTTAAGCAGAGCTAATTTGTTTAGTTTGTGTGTGGCAGTGGTGTGAAATGGGTTGTGTTTCAATGGAGAAGGTCAATCTGGCTGCTTCCCAGACAATTTGCAGGGTTTTTATGCCTTATATTTTGTGTCAGATGCTACAAGGGCTAGAATCAGGGATCCACAGTCCTATACAGCTGTACATGTGATCAGCTACCTATTTTCAAGTCCTGGAGTAGCTCTGCCCACACAGACTGGCTATTGGCTGCCCCCAAAAGGAATTGTGACCAAGGCCTTCTGCTTAGGTTAGGACTTTGGAAAATGATGGGCTCCCTTGGCTCTGGCTTATTCTGACACTTGGTGCAAACCCTGGTGCAATCTCTGGCTCTCAGCTGATGGCTGCCTATGGTTTAGCCCTAACAGCTCCATGGTTTAGCCCTATTTTGCATGCAGATGCTAACTACTTTGTGTTATAGGGTGCCCCCAGACTGTTACCATTTTGCAGGAGGGATTCAAATGCATATAAGAAATGTAGGTTTGTGCCATTGAAGTGGATTAAAATGCTCTGTGGCCCTGGTGCAGCTTTGTGCAAGCAAACCAAGCTAACTGTTCAATATACAGGTTGTCTGAAGGAGCCCATAGATAGCAAGAGCACAGCTCCCTTCCTTTTCCATGAACCTGTTTGTCTTATACTACTCTCTTGACATCAGCCCTCTGAGCATTATTTTGTGTATGGCCAGGTTAAGCATTACAAATCTGGGAAGCCTCTAAAAACATGACCATGTGTCAACAGTTTCATGCAGGATCCATCCTAGTTATAAGATGCCTGCCATATGCATCAGCCCAGCTAGTGACACTAGCGAACAAACTTCAAATGAGAGTGAATTCAAATCAAAAACAAACCTTCCACGGTATGTTTGTACATGGCTCAACCTGATCACTGCCATTGATTTTTAGCCATTTTTGTTTGGGTCTCGTCCTGGAGGATGCTGTTTTGTAACAGTTTTTGCTAGATTAGAGAGGTAACAGTTTGGAATGTGAAGTTAGCTTCATGGACTGGCTTGACACATAGGAATGGTGGGAGGCACAAGATGGGGAACCCCCAAGGGAAGAGCTCTGGTAATGGTGATGGGTCAAAAAGAGAAGAGGAAGAAGAGTGAGAAGAGGAAGTGTCAGAAGCTGAAGAGGTAACAGGGTTTAGTGGGAGGGAGCGGTCTGTGGCAGAGAGAAGTCCGGAAGTGGAAGCGGAAGCACGGGAGGAAGGAGGCCGAGATGAGTCAGGCTGGTGAAGAATCCTGGGTCTCTCCCCCTCCTGATGCAACAAGCTCCCCTCCACCCTGGTCTCCCGGGACCAGGAGAAGAAAAGACAGTCACCAGAGGAGTCTCAAATTTCTTAGGAAGGACTCAGGGGAGGAGGAGACTTCGGCAGCTGTGG